TGAGCCTAGGTTTCAGACGTGTGCGTCGGGGGCCGGAGGCAGGCTCACATGGGTGCGGTGTCAAGGATGGGCAGGACTGGGGAATTCAGGGAGTTGGTGAAGAGGGTCTTTGGGCAAGCAATGCAGGAAAGAGGTCAAGCAAAGAAACGGAATAAGAGGGAGTGGACTGAGATCAAGGCCCTTTCTGACAGCCCCAGGAAGAGACCTAGAATCCATCATCAAACCATCCCCAGACATAGGCTGGGAGCAGGGAGGGGTGGACCGTGAAGCTGTGACGAGGGACCAGGGCTCACCTGGGGACCCCCTTGCTTAGCAGCACTTTAAATTTCTATGGGCCTCAAGACCAGGGGACACTGTGGGGTAGCCCCCTGGGCAAGGAGGAGGAGCAGGTAGATGGAAGGACCAAGTACTCTCAAGGGGCTACAGCAAACAGGTCTGCTGGGGCAGAGAGAGTCCTGGCCTGGTCCACTCCTCCCCAGCCAGGCACCCTGCCCAAGCCCCCCATCCCAGCCAAGGGCCCCCAGCCCTGGACTCCAGCCTTCTCCTCTCAGGCTGGGCACTGGCTCCTAGGCTATTCCTGATGCCAGGCTGTCGAGCCCCTGGGACAGAGATGAGGGCCTGGTCCATAATTTCTGAGTCCTAAATCTGAGGGCCCGGTCCCTCAGGGTCATTATTCTCATTTCTCGCCTGTAGAAACAGGGAACCTGAATAGAGGAGGAGGAACTGCATGGGGAGGAGGCTTGTCCAAGATCACACCAATCAGCAAATCAGCCACGGCCAGCCCTGGGACGTGCCCCTCTGCAGGGGGTGGTCACAGTTAAATTAACATCACCACAATTCACATTCCCAAGGCCCTGCTTTCTCCTCTTAGATCCACAATTCTTATCCCCACTGTACAGATGAGGAAACCAAGGCTCCACGAGGGGCAGTCAGGGCTGTGTTGTCCTGGGAAACAGTCTCCAGTATGAGGGAGGATCTTGGAGACCCCTCTTCTCTCTGGGTGTTTGGCATGTGCACAGTGAGGGGTGGGGGCAGGTGAGTGGGGACTCAAACTCCAGCGACCAAGGTTCCACCACAAACCCACGCATGCCCAGGCTAAGACCCATCCTTCTACATGGCATGACAGCTGGCATTCAGGCCATGGACAGGGAGTCAGACAGGCTGGGACCCTCTGTTCACACCATGGATCCTGCTTCCCACGAGGATCAAGTCGTGCTGATCCTGCAGCAGTGTCCTTCTCATACCCCCTCCCTTGCCACAGTGGTCCAGCCCCCATCACCCACCCTGAATGACCGTGCCAGCCTCCCCACTGTCCCCTGTCCTGTACACTTGCCCCTCAGGCTATTTTCCACTTAGCAACCAGGGGATCTTTCTAGTGACAACCAGACCCTGTCAGCCCTGGAGAAGGGGCTGCAGCTTCTCCTTTGCCTGCAGCAGGGGTGGAAAGGCCCTGGGGCCAGAGGAGGAGGTGTGGATGTGGAGAGGGCTAGAAAGAAATCCTACAGATGCACAGAAGCCACAAGGAGATGAAGATCCCCTGAGGTGTGCCACGGGGCAGCCCTGGGAAGGGGGCTGGCTGACTGAGCAATGGGGTTCTGGCAGGTCACCTGTCAGGACTCATCTGACCCAGCCAGAGACAAAGGGGCTGAGGCCTCATCTTACCTCTGGAGAGTTGCTAATGAGGTTCTTTAATGGCCAAGACTGGGAAGGGATGACCTCACCCAGGCCACGCCCTGATGAGAGGAGGCTGGAGTCAGAGGCAGGTGGCTGTTCATTGACTATGGGAGCTGCTCGGGCTTGTCTTGTCTGAGAAATGAGGGGGCCGTGTGTGTGCACACATGCATGTGTGCCTGCTCCTTCACAAGGCCAGAGGGCAAAGGCTCCCAGCCTGAAGCGGGAGGCAGGACCTGGGGAAAAGACTCAGGGCAGCAGGAGAGGGAGGCTTTGCTTCAACTCTGACTCACTCTACAATGCCCCATCTGAGCCTCACCGTCCCCATCTGCATGGGCTTGGGGGAACAGGACAATTCTGAACCCTCCCCAGGCTCTCAGGTCTGCTGGGTATCAGGAGTCAGATGGGACCTAGCCCAGGAGACCTCAGGAAGGAGACAAGAGGGCTGTGCCCAGGTGGGGCCCAGAACAAGAAGGGGAAATGTGTCAAAGATCAGGACCCAGACACCCCCCATGCAACCCAGGCTCCAGGGGCACCCACAGGTTAACATTTGAGCGTGCTCCCTCTAGAGACACCTGGCTCCTGGATCAGGTTCCCTGGCTTCTGTCAGGGTTTGGGTGTAGGTGCTGGTGTTTCTGGCCACGTCCATACTGACGCAGAGGGCAGGCCCAACACAGACGCAGCATCCAGGGGCAGACCTGCATGTGCCAGGCAGCGGCAGCAGCAGAAGAGGGGGCAGGTTCCAGCATGAGCTTGCTGCCCGCCCCCTCTCTGCCCCACTCACAAGGATGAACATGCTCTGTAAACTCAGGGCGGGGTCCTGGGGAGCTTGCTCCTCTCCAGAGGGCTGCTGGCCCTCTCCCAGGCTCAGAGCAGGACCACCCCAGGGAAATGTTCATCTCTTGTGGTCTCCTTCAGACCCCCTGCAAGGTGACTGCTCCACAGTGTTACAAGTTCTTTCTCGTGTCCAGCATTAGTCACTCCTGCTCTTGTACCTGATTCATTAAGTTGAAGGCCCCATTATCCTGCCACCCAGCCTGACATCACTGAAGTTTCCCCAGGCATGTTCCCACTCCTGGGACAGCCCAGCCGGCACAGGAAATGGCTGCGGGATGAATGTGCCAGTGAGTGACTGAGTGACTGAGTGAGTGAGCAAGTGGCTCAGATCCTCCTCTCATGAGAACGCTAAGTGACTAAGAAGCAGATGAGGGGGTCCTGGGGCCTGGGCTGAGATGGAAACAGAAACAGGAACCTAAAGGGAGGCAGAGAAGGTCAGCAGGAAAGAGATGAGGGCACAGAGACAGAGCAGATACAGCTCCAGAAAGCCAGTGTCCAGGAGCTCAGGGGACACCAGCATCAAGGGCCTCAGCCAAAGATGACCTGAGACGGACAGGGCCCATGTGAGGAGAGCATGGCAGAAACAGGGTAGAATAACAGGAGCTCAGAGTGGACCATGAGGGGGCAACCTAGGACCCAGAGTGGAGACAGCAGTCGAAAGTAAGCATGGCATAGCCCAAGGTCACAAAGCAAGGACCCAGGGCCCCAGTCACCCAGCGATGACCTGGCCCTCTACCCCTACCAGAGGGAAGCTGAAGGGAACCACAGCTAGGCACGGTGCCAAGGTGTGAATTTCTGCAGATGAGGACACTGAGGGTCAAGGAGGCCACCTGGCCTGACGTTGCACAGGAGGTAAAGCCCCCCAGTCCTTGGTTTGAGGAGCTGGCTCAGGAGGCAACTGCTACTCCCACCCCCCATCCTGTGCTTGGGCACACTGGCACTGCCAGGCACTTACTCGGCCTATCGAGGGCCCAGCCCCCAGCCCAGCACCCGCGGGCTTCCCCAGCCCTGGCCAAGGGCAGCAAGAGGGAACAAAGGCCCAGTCTCTGCCTGTTCAGGCCCCCACCCCCTTGCCCGCCCCTGGCACAGAAGGACCAGGGCCCTGAGGGAGCCCAAGGACCAGGGCCCTGAGGGAGCCCAAGAGCAAAGGCAGCACCGCCCCTTTGCCAACACTGCGAGAACCTTCCCCTCTCCAGGGCTGCTGACTGCACAGCAGTGTTCCCATTCTAAAGATGGGAAAGCTGAGTGAGAGGGCTGAGGAGGTGGGAGCCACACAGCTAGGATTTGGACCCAGGTCCCTCTGCTGGCAGAATTTGCTCTCTGCCCCTCATCATATGCATGAAGGTGTGACATGCTCTGGTCAAACATAACACAGGAGCAGAGAAGGGGCAGGGACATAGAAGGTAGAGCCTGGACAGCCCAAAGGGGAGAGGCCTGGGAAAGGAGATGAGTTGCCCTCATCCTGCCGGCCCTGCCCACCTATCCACCCGGGGCCAGTCCAGTGCCGGTCACAGTGGAAGGGATAAAGTCAGGTGAGAGGCAGAGATGAGGAAACTGAGTCAGCACTCAGGCCTCCTAGTTCCTGACCGAGGTTTACTCCATCCAGCCAGATGCGAAGGAGCCATAAGCCCCTCTGAAGCTTCCATTCCCATCTGTAACAGGGGCCGTCACTCACTGGGTGCCTCAAAGCCTCAGGCCACGGCCACCATCCTTCTCTAGACCCCCTTCCTGCTTCCTGCTCCCACCCAGGACCTGGCCTTGACCCCAAAGAGGGGCCTGCGTGCAGGGCCAATACTCACCTGCTCCTGAGAAGGCGGCATGGCCGATTCCTCCCGCAGGCCCAGACCCAGACAGGGAAGTGAACATACTGTGCTCAGCATGCCCCCAAAGCACTGGGTATCTGGGTGTGCTTGGCCCCACTTTACAGAGATGGAAACTGAGGCCACCTAGCTCCTGGGGAGAAGAACGGGGCTGACCTATCTTTGACCAGGTTTCACATCCCACTGGTGCCCCAGGGACTGTGGGAGCAGGGAGGGTGATAAATGCACTCTCCCTGTCCCACCCACAAGAGGAGCAAGAGAAAGGTCCAGGAGCCCAGAGCCCTGGGGCAGTCTGGGCAAGTTCTAAGCAGGTAGCCTGGGGTGATTCTGGGTGAGCAGGGGCTCAGTTGTGTGGCCTTGGTCCATGAAACCTCCTCCAGGTCCCCATCTCCTGTCAACCAATCAGCAAAAGCCACAGAGAAAGCCCTGATGCCCCTGCCTGCCAGTGCCTGCAGGGCTGGGGAAATGCCCAGACTCCAGCTGCACCCAGAGGCCTGGCTGCTTCTCCCGGCTGTGGGCCCCTTTGACTGGTCAAAGCAAGTGCCCAGCAGGCCCTGGATCAGACCAGGCCACCACCTTACGCAGAGCAGGCGCTGCGATGGCAGCCACAATGCCTCTCCTTGCACACCCCTCCCCACCGGCCCCAGGCCCTTATTGGACATCACAATTCACTTTAAAGAAAAAATAATATTTATTTGCAATATAAACAAAGTCCCGCTGTTGGTTCGGGATATATATATGTATGTGTGTGTGTATATATATATATATATATATATATGTAGGGTCACAAATTTTCCTTCATAAGATCATAAAGCAAAACTGGCCACCCTCTTGGCATACCCTCATTTACACAAATCTGATGCATCTTTCTGGGTTTTTCTTTTTAAAAGTAAAAAAGACAAAGAACCATGTACAGCATGGAAGCTTTTTGTCAATTTCTCAACTGTGGCAAGATTTTAATCTGCTGCCTTAAAGAATCCCTGAAAACAACCCCTGTGAGGTAAGATGCAGTGGGGGCAGAGTTTCCGTGGCCTTGCTTGCATGCCGAGTGCTGGCTCGCTCAGGGACCCCTGCCCGACCGCTCACCCCTCCCCGGCCCCCATGCAGTCCTGACACCTGGCAGAACTGAGGTTGGAGAAGGAACAAAACAGGAGGAGGATAACGGAATCCGTGGCTTTGTTCTGTGGATACTAGGGGTGGGGTGGGGTAGGAGTGGACAGAGTCTCACATCCCTTCACTTGCCCAGCCTTGCTGCCAACCCCCATCACCTCCCCGCTACCCCTGCCCTGGAACTGAAATGAATGCGAGTTTCCTGGTAGTAGATGGGCAAGATGAGCACAGGGCAGGCTTCCAGGGGACAGAGGGGCTAGGAGCGGCAGCTGAACCAAAGCAACAGCCAGGGTGAGGGACAGAAACCTGGGAGGCAGTGCTGGGCCTAAGCTTCCCCAGCCACTGGGCCTCCACTCTCAGTTACAGACAGAGAGAGAGAGAAAGAGACAGAAGTAGTGGGTACATACAGAAAAGGGCCCGGGGCCCAGGCCCTGTGAAGGGCCGAGCCCAGAGGGCTAATGCTACTGCCTGGCAGTCTCCCGTGGCCCCACTGGAGGGGCAGGTGGGACGGCAGAGAATGAAAAGGCCACCCGTCCAGCCCACCAACCACAACTTGCAGCAGTCATTGCCGGCAAATGCAGAGCCAAGTCGGGCTGTGCCAAGGTGGGAGATGTGGGCACAACTGGGGGTCCGACGCTAAAAGAGCTGCAAGCCACCCCTTCAAGAAGGGCCCGCTGCAGAAACGGAGGCTTCACACATGTGCAAAACGCATTTGGTCAAGATCAACACGGGGTTTGTCTTTTCCGTTAAAAAATAAAAACCAAAAAACCAATAATTGCTTTTTGAAATAGAAAGAAAAACAAAACGGAGAACACTTCTCTCTCTCTCGCAGGATCAAGAAAGGGATGAAATACTGGTTTATACAATCCACCGTTGCATGTAGCCTGAAAATAACACTTTTCATTAAAAAAAGAAAAATCAAGAAGAGCTTGAACACTCTCTGTGCTCCAAGGAGCTCGGATTTACCTGCCAAAAGTAAAAAGTAAACTCAGGTCCGTGGATGTGTCTTTAAAAAACAGCCAGACTGGCTGGGCCATCAACAGAAAGGAGTGCCCTAGGCCAAGGATGAGGCCCTGTTGGACTCCCAAAGCCATGTGTCTGAGAGCCAAGGGCCTCAGACTTCGAGTGGACTCTCCAGAAAGTTCTGCAGAGAGCGGGCTTGCTGTGGGCTCCGCCCTCCCCAGGATGGTGAGGGAAGTTTGGCCAGCCATCAGCCTGGGCCTCTGGGCACAGGCGATGTCCAGGTTCCTCAGGCCAGATGCAGCAGGCATGGGCCCTCCCACCTGGCCCTGTGAAGGATCAGGGAGGGGCTGGCACCCGGCCCGCCTGTGCCCCCGGCCTCACGTGGACTCCAGCGTGTTGAGTGGGAACAGGTTGTGGTTGGTGGGCGTGGAGAAATAGAGCTGCTCGCTGGGCGTGTGGTTGTCGCATGGGCTGCTCAGCCCCAGCGTCCGCTCGAAGTCCAGCAGCTGACCCATAAAGTTGAAGTTGGGCGAGATGTTGGACTTTTTCCTCTTGACAAAGTCGTAGGCGTCATTGAGTGACAGGTTCATCTTCTGCATCAGGTAGGCCACAGTGACCGTCACCGAGCGGCTGATGCCTGCCAGGCAGTGCACCAGGACACCACACTTCTTGGAGCGGGCCTCGTCTGAAACACACAGGAATGGGTCAGGGAGGCCCTCCTCCAAGAAGCCACAGCAGGTGGGGCTGGAGCACAGATGGTGACTTGGTCCCTGGTTGGTGTTGCCTGACTCTTGAAGTCCTATGCAGGGAGGACAGCAACTTGGGGCAGAGGTCAAGAGCACGACTGCGGAGCAGGCTCTACCGCATGTTAGCTCCAAGTCACTGGGATCCCTGCGCCTCAGTTTTCTCGTCTATACAATGGGCCCCATACTCACAGTGCTCTCATAAGGACCTGAGCCAAGTGAGGGCTCCACAAACATGAGCGACTGTGACAATTATAATCATTGCCAGTCCTACTGTGGCTACAACTGTGTGCTACGTCTGCGCCGAGTGTCACCTCATCCTCTCAGGTCTTCTGTACCACGGCTAGGAAGTGAATTTTATAAATGAGGAAACAAAGTGATGAGCCCAAGGCCACACAGGCTCCTCCTAACTCGTGGCACCTGCCAGTGTCAGCCCATGATGCGGGGGCAGAGGTGGGGGTTGCACTTGTTCTCATGGTGCAGTTCCCATAGGCACCCCCAAGAGCCTCCTGGAAAATAGGCCCGAGGGAGGCCCCTCCTCAAGGGAATAAGGGGCTCAGTTAGTCACCAGGGCCTTAGCCCTGTTCCTGAATAGGCAGGGTCTGGGACCAGGGCCATGCCTGAGATTTCACAAGTGGAGTTTGCTTAAGTGGGGCCCACCCCACTTACTAGACTTCCCCCAAGAGGCCCATGTGTCAGTGCCATCTCCCACCACAGCCAACTAGGTTCTGCCAACCCTCCCCTCCACCCTTCACCCTCCCAGCTTCCCCCAGCTTCCCTCAGACTCCTCTGCCTGACACACAGGAGGAGCTCAATAAATACTGGTTGAGCCACTAAACAACTCAGTCTTGTAATCTCTCCTCTGCTGGACCCTAGGGCAGCTGCCTCACTGCCATAGCTGTGCCAGGGACATAGACTAACAAGAGGCAGCCCTGAGCCTTCAAGGTCCCCATCTCCCTGCTTCTGAGTCTACTGTGAGCCAGGCACACAGTCAGCACTCAATCAGCGCACTCCCACAAGATGACGCACAGGTTCATAAATTGTTCCTCATCTGGTGCTCATCGCCTCTGGCCTGGCAGGGCTTCCCTTCCCTGCCCCCACAGAGGGAACCCAGGGCTAAGCATGCAGTAGGTGCTTAATCCAGGGTTGGGGACTGACTAGGGGCAAGACTAGCAGGGAAAGAGACAGATGTTGTGGCTTCGTGTGGAGCCGTGTAGTCTGACCTTGAGATTTGAGGCAGGAGAAGGGGGTGGTGGAGATGAGACTCCAGTGGTGACACACCAGGATATGGGGAACGTCTGGCCCCCAAACCCACTCATGGGTGATCCAAAGTGAACCCAATTCTGCTGGCTTTATTTTTAGCCCTCTCAGGGGGGGGGGGGGGGGGGGGGGGGGGGGGGGCAGGAAGGGGAGCGTGTGGGGGGCCTGAACCTTGATCCTGTCCCACTGAATCCTACGGGATGCCTGGGCCTCAATTCCTTCACTTGTCAAATGGGGAACAAGGTGCCCCCCAACCCCTGCATCCTTTTCCATCCCCCTCCCCAGATGTAGAGAGGACTTCAAGAAGGATAAAGGCCCCCACAAGCCAGGCTCAGCCCTGGGGAATCTGGGGTCCCCTCTCCTCTCTCCTTGAGGGACAGCAGGAATGCTGAAACAGCACCCCCAGCCCTCTCGGCCATGTCCTCCAGGGCAGAGCTGGGACACTCTGGACAGCCCCAGTGACAGCCCCTCCCCCAGGCCTCAGCTTCCTTCCTTCCTCCCAGCCAGGCACCTAGTTTTGGTTCCCAGTAAGCGGATGAGGCGGGGAAGCCTCCCACTTCCTGTTATTAAAGCGAGCCCAGCCCAGCTGACACTAAAACGCCCTCCACTGGACACGGCCGCCAGCGGGAGAGGATTGCCCAGGCCATCCCCTCCCTGCCACTAGAGGCTGGGCAGAAACACTGGGCCACCAGGCTCAGAGAATCCAGGGTTTACAATCACCCTGATCTTGTGTCCCTTCCCCACACCCTGGGTGAGAGCAGGGGCCAGGGAAGATGACCTGCAGTTTAACAGCCTCCAGCTGGCCAAGGAGGAACCAGGATGGGGAGGTCAGAGATAAGGCCCAAGTCAGCTGAGGCTGGGGATGTAGGAGGCTCAGAGGGCTCCAAGCCAGGCAGCAGAACACAGTGCTCTGGGGGAAGCCTTCCTCTGCCTCCCCCAACCTTCTCTGTACACCCCCTAGACTCCAAGCAAGCCCCACAGGCTGCCAGGGGCATCTGGGACACCACCAAGGCACTCTGGGTAACCCCATTCCAATAGGTGCCTGTTGGGGGTAGGCCTTTGGCTCTATGGCTATCCTTCAGCTCCCTCAGGTACACAGTAGAGCCCAAAGAGGCACCGTGACGGCCCCAGCCTGGAGAGACACATGTGCTGAGGTGTGATGCAGACAGCGAGACCTGCAGGGGCTCTGTGAGCTGTGACGTTTCAGCTTGCTAAGCCTGAAACAGCGGGGCCAGAAAAACACAAACCAGACAGCAGAGTCCACAAGGTACTGACAGCTGCAGGGAGCCCAGGACTCAGGGGACTGCTCAGGCCCTGAGGGCCTCAGTGATTCACAGCAGGCCCAGGTACACCCATGGGCACACGCTGGCACACGCAGGGCACACACAGGTCTCAACAGGCCCAGAGATACTCAGTCAGGCGCGGGCAACACCCAGAGTTCTGTACACACCTTGACGCGCCTGCTCACCCACCCTGCCCAGAGCACAGCAACACCTACCAATGAAGCTGATGGCCTCAGGGAAGAACTGGGAGAGGTTCTGGCTCCAGTGGTCAGAGATGGGGATCTGCTTGTAGGTGAACTCGCCACCGTGCTCGAAGGCATTGGGCAGGTTGGGCGTGACGTTGAGGATATACTTGATGCCGTACTTGCCGAGCACGTCCAGGTTGGTGGAGTCCTTGGCGCAGCCGAGGTAGAGGTAGGGCAGGATCTGGACGGGGAAGGCCGGTTGGCTGGATGGCACAGGGCTGCCGTCCGACTCGGTGGCACTGCTGGGCAACTCTCGGTCTGACTCACCGTCCGAGCAGTCAGAGCTGATGCGCAGGCCCCCCAGGCCTAGCACTGAGGTGGGTGGCGAGCCACTTGGGGAGCACGAGCTGTCCACATTGGTCTCGCAGTGCTCCGAGTACTCTGTCTGGAACTTGTTGAAACCACCTGTAGCCAGGGTGAGACAGGGCCTGGGTGAGAGACTGCTGATGCCACCAGCCCAAACGGTCTGCACAAGACCAACCATGGCCAGGGCTCCCCATGTAAAGCGCCATAACACCAACGGCTAACATGGGCTGTGCCAAGCATGTTACACATGTACTGTCTTCTGTTTTCTCCATATCTATTCTACGACCCTCTTCACAGATGAGGAAACTGAGGCCCCAGGAGGTGAAGGAACATGCCTGAGCTCCATACCCTCACCCTTAGGTTTCAGGGCCCCCGCCATACCACCAGTTTTAGGGGTACTTGAGGACAAGCCCCAGCTTATTCCTCTTCCACAGCTCCCATGCACACCTGGGCACCCAAGGGTGCTCAATAACCGCTAAGTGATAAAGGAAAGCAGACAACCCCATCATAGGCCAGCACCGGTGGGTTTGCAAACCCCTCTTATAGATAAGGCCTCATAGATAGAGGCCAGAGCTGCACCTGGGTCAGTTTGAGGCTGAGGGGCCTGGGCCTCCTGACTGGGAGTCCAGTGCTTGGCCACCACCCCCAACCACAGTCAGGGTAGTGTGAAAGTATTGGCTGGCCCCTTCTGCCAACAGAGACAGGTTCATAAAAAGGGTCCCAACTCCACCTCTCCAGAACTCCCCTTAGAACACAAGACCCCCCAGCCTTGGACCCAAAGGCGGGGAGGACCGCTGGGGGCTTTACGGAGACAAGAAATGGGGAGCGCCTTGCAACTAGGCATGAGCCTTGCACCCGAGGGTGCCGCAGGCCTCCCCTCCCCTCCCCGCCTGCCCGCCCCGCTGCCAGCGAGAGGCCATTTTGGAATGTTAATTGGAAACACCGGCTGCAGCCACTAGGCACTCCCCCCCCCCCAACCGGCGCTGCCTCCCTCTTCTACAAGCTCTGGGGAGGCAGGATTTGAGGGACCGGGAAAACCAGGGCTGGGGCAAGGGACACTGCCTACAGCCCCGCCCCAAGCGCCTCCCAGAGGCCGTGATCCCCAAGTGGTGAGACCCATACTAGGATGCCCGGAGTCCCCCAACCCAAACGGTCCCTCTGCCCTGGGAGCCGGGATGATGCTGTGAAAGGCTCCTGTCCTGACCCTGGCCTTCCAGGGACACACATTCCAGGCTGGAGGAGCTAGACTTGAGTGCCCTGTTGCCTTCGGGGTGCCAGGTGGGGTCCCTCACTCCTTTAAGGGGCTCAGCTGGAACTTGGGCGCTGCCATGGCTCCAGCAACAGGGAAAAAGGAAAGCCCAGGCGGGGAAAAGTTTGCTCAGCCCACTCGAATCGTCCCAATAAAGGGGTGCAGAGGGGCCCCCCGCGCTAGCCTAAAGCCGCATCGCGGGGACCGGGCTCCCGGGAGGGGCAGACGCGGGCCGGGGGGCGACGTGGCGCCGGGCCGGGCAGGCTCAGCGCGTGCAGAGAAAGCAGCCTCCGGCAGAGGCGTCAGCGAATCGCGGGAGAGGCTCAATCCCAGCCAGGGGTCTCGGTACTGCCCTCACCTTGGAGGTAGTAGGCCTGGCAGCCGTCGTCGCGCAGCTTTTGCAGAAGCAGACCAAGCACCGAGGCGGGAGCGCCAGGCTCTGGCTGCCACTCGGCCGTGGCCTCGTCGTAGAGCAGCACGGTGGCCGCCTTGCAGCGCGTGGCGAAGCGCTCCTTGTCGGCGTGGTTGGGGATGATGGAGCGGATGGGCAGGTTGCCCTTGCGCAGGCGGCGCAGCATGAGACCCGGGATGGCCAGGTTGATGGCCGTCTCGATGTGCGACGACTCGAACAGCTCGTGTGGCCGGCAGTCGAGCAGCAGCAGGGACGCGCCGCCGCGCGCCTCCAGCTCCTCCTGCAGCCACTCGGCGCTCTTGCAGGGCATGGCCCCCGCACCCGTCGCCGCGCCCGCCCCAGTGCCGGCGCCAGACCCGGACCCTGCACCGGGCTCCGACCCCGCCCCGGTGCCCCCAGCCGCCGACGCCCCCGAGGCCGACATGTGCGCCCGCGCTGGGGGGCCGCGGAGCTGGTTTTTCATGGGGAGCGCGGGCGGCCCGGGGCCGGGGCCGGGCAGCTCTGCCCTGGGACGGCGCCCCGGCCGCGCGGGCCACAGCCGCGTCTCCGGGCGCCCGCCTCCCGCCGAGCTGCGCGCCCGCCGCCCCGGCCTCCCGGCCTCCGTCCCGCCCGGCCCTCCGCGCGCGCCGCGGCCTGACAGCCCCAATTAAACGGCGGCTCCGGCGGCCGCGCGCCGAGGCGTCCTCCGGGGGGCGGGGCCGCGGGGCCGGCACCCGGGCTTAAAGGCGCCGCGCCTCCGCCACCCCTCCCCACGGGGTACGCGGACGCGCTCGCGGACCCGTGCGCCTGGAGATCTGCGCCCCGGCCTTCTCCCCGCCTCAGCGGCGCCGCCGTCTCGCCTTGCCCGGAACTGGCTATGACCCGCCTAGGGGACCCGGCCAAGACGCCCTCCGGAGTCCTTTATGCCTGCGCTCCCAGCTCATCTGTGCCCCACCGTGAAGGGCTCCCCTGGGGACGTCCTGTTCCTAGCATCTTCTCTCTACATTCACAGAAGCAGAGTTTCTCCAGGGACGGGGCGGAGGGAGGGGCGGTCACGCTGGCCCAACCTCCCCTCCTCCTGTCTGTCAACCCCATTCATTCATTCTCTCAGCTAGTTCATTCAACAAATGGAAATTGAACGCCTACTACGTGCCAGACACCGTGCTTAGGCAGTAACCGCTTTAGGCGACTGCCTAGTCCCTATGATGGCCACAGGCTCTGGGACCTGGGGTTGAGTCTCAGCCCAGTAGGCCTGGTTGGGAATAAGCACTTAAGAGCCTGGAGAAGTAGGACGGCCCAGGGCGGTGCCACTCTCCGCGGGCAGGGGTGGACAGATCCTAGAAAGGACTAGCCCTGGGAAGAGAGAGCGAGCCCTTTAAGAAAGCTTTACAAGCAGGGTGGTGACAGGCGCCGAGTGAAGTGCCACGTGACTTCTCCAAGGGGCGGGTGGGAGGGGGTAAGCTCTCCTTTATAAGCGGCTCTTCTTCTCCTACCTCCTTCCCAATGCACCAACAAAACCTTGCGGTAGGCGGGAGTGAGCCGCGCAAATGGCCAATCGCGACCGAAGGAGACAGTGATGGGGAGGCGGGGCCCGCAGCCGGCTCCACCCAGCGCGGGAAGTGGGCGGGGTCTCCGCGAGCGCTCTGTGTCGGCTCGCTGGCGGGCGGGGCGGAGGAGGTGAATGAATTCGCAGGTAGCGTTGGAACAAAGCGGCTCGGCGCGAGCGGCGCGCGTGCGCAGGGCCTGCCGCGCTTTCCCTACGGAACCAGGCCTGTCTGCCCCGGAGTGGGAGCTCGCGGCTGGGCCCTGCCGTCCGCCTGGTCCATTTCCTGTCGGGCGGAGTGCCCCCGCCTCCTTGGGGCTCGCCCGCCCCGCCTCTGCCCGAGGCTGGTCGGCTGTGAGCCACCTTGCCTTTAACCCCCCTGGAGAGAGTGGGGTGAGAGGAAGGAGGCGGTGGTGTTCGAGACTACCCGGAGGATTTGAGCTTGCCGCTGACGGGAAGGCACCAAGAGGGGAGACCGTGGAGCAGTCCCGCTCCCCCCAGTCTTCCATGCGAAGGGTCTACCCCTGTAGGAGCAAGGGTCGCTCCCACAGTCACACTTCCAGAAGGGCCACAGCATTGCAGCCAGAGATGGTTTTATCCCTCAGGATTCAATCCCCCGAGAAGTGATAGGAGAATCACATCTCTGGCCTCCCCCAGGGCTGTCTTGGGGTTGCTCGGAGAGCCTCCTTCCCTGGGGTCCTAGGACCTACGGAAAGAGCTTCCAGGGCCTAGACCCAGATTCTGCCTATCACTTGCTGTCGTGTTTTGTAACTGGAGTGTGGTTCTCACCTCTCTGGGCCTCAGTTTTCCCGCTGTGGGAGTGTGCTGCTCTCGATAGTGCCTAGCCAGCCCATCACAAATCTGTCCAGCTGGGAGGGTGTTTCTCTGGGGTCAGACCCCTGGCTGGCAGTCCAGGAGCTGGTTGTCAGGGATGGAAGCAGCACTCAAAAAAGAGACGGGAGCAGACCCACAGGAGAGGGGACCTGCTGGCCACTGACTCATGTATCAGGCGGCTTAGCTTCAGCAACAGCAGTGCCTCATGAGGAATTGGCTGCTGCTCTCACTAGGAGTACAGCTGAAGTGGGAAACTCCACTGTGCCCCACAGTCCCGTCCCCCATGCATGGGGAAAGAGCCTTCCTAGAGAGAGGAAAGGAGGCCCTGCCACCCCTCAAATTAGCTCACGATGTCCCCCTTATCTCTCTCAATCTGCACTCCTCTGGGGGGACACACACCCTGGGGGAGAGACTGGTGAGGATGTGTGGAATTGGGAAAAAAACCCTGGGTGGTGGAGGGCATCCTCCAGCAGGGATGTAAAGAAAGGCAGGGTTTGGATGAGTTCAGAAGGGAGAGCTCATGGGGAAGGGTGACAGTGGAAGCAAAGGGGTGGAGGAGAATTAGCCTGGCCGTGTGAGGTGGCAGCCGGGCCCTGGGCCTCCATCACCATGGTTGGATGAGAGGCCCGAAGCCTTGGTTTCTGAGTGGAAGCCCTGCCTCCAGTCTTGAACAGTTAGATACAATGCATAACATGGATCATAGCAGGGCTGCCCTTGCGGGGCGGGGTGGGGGGACAACACAGAACCCTCTGACTTATAAGGCTAGAGCACAGCAGGAACTTGCCAGTGGTCAGACAGCCAGAGGTCAGAGCGGCCCCTGCCCAGGACCTTGCCCAGTAACTGTGAGCCTCCCTGATGGTGCTGGGAGAGGGAACCTGGTGCCCTGGGCGAGGCCTTGGGATCAAAGACATTCCTCTTCAGGAATGTGGCCTTTCCTGCCCTTCAGGGTTCAGACCCTCCTTCACCTGCAGCCCCAAGGAGGGGTGCCCCCCCCCCCCCCCCCGCTCACCAGGGTCTCCTGAGGGGCAGAGTGGGGGCCGCCAGAACAGATCTGGGTCCCTGGGGGTGAGCTGGTCTCAGGAAGGGAACTGCAGGTGGGGTACGCTTGAGCTCTCTGAGGGTTATGCCCTCCCACACACCTCCAGGCCTTTGCACATGCTATCCCCTCAGCCTGGACTGTTTTTGTCCTTACCCTTTGCCTGCCTTTTAGAAGATCCCAGCTCAGGTGTCACCCTCAGGGAGGCCTCCTCTGATCCTCCAGGCTAGAGTAGCTCCCTGCTCTGTGCTCCCAGGACCCTTGTCCCTCATCTTTGCTCGAGAATCTATCACAGTCACTGTTCAACACCCCCTACCAGACTGTCTCCATTCGGATGCCCAATGGCATGTCTACCTCCCCTCAAACCCGTTCCTCCTCCTGTGTCTGTCTCATCCCTGTTCACCCAGGTGCCAGGCCCAAACCCAAGAGGCATGTTTGGAGCTGCCTTCCCTCTCCGCACATATCACGCCCCAGAACCACAGAGTGAAGGGGGTTTTCTAGCAGGGCAAGGCTTGGCCATGATAGAGGGACATTTGATGCGAACTGAGCAGATATGAACTGGTGTGCACACCCATATACACATCCACATAGTTGGTGACTCAGGAACTGGGTCACCAAGAATACTTTAAGCATCTTGGAAGCAGACTTCCTTTTCCCACTGGTGCCCATGGATTTCTTAGAGATGGGCCACCGTGTTTCGAATGACATGTGCCAGCGAGGGAAGAGGGGAAGAAGGTCAGTTCCTTGCTCTCCTATCCTAAGGAGGCTAGCACAGATTTAGGGTGAGCTCCTGCTTGCTTCCAGGAGGGCAGCTTTCTAACATGGGTCTACTTCACATCCCTCTATGAGAGCTGAGCAGGGGCCAGGAACCCCAACTCATGATGCTTGCTACTGGTGACAAGCCAGCCTCTCCCCAGTGCAGCTCCACCAGGCTGCAGGAGGTGTGCCATCAGAGCCCTGCCTGAGACCCAGAATGGGGGTCACTCTGCTTGCCCCTGAACCTTGGGACAGCTTCCTTCTCATCCCTTGGCGAGGTGCCTGCCTGGTTGCAGTCGGAACAGATAAAGTCTAAGTGAGGCCGGGGGTGGACTGTGAAAGGCCTGGTACCTCTCCAACCCTACACATACACACACATAAGGACACACAAACACACATAGACTTACCTATATATCCACATATGCTCACAGGCACATATGTGTGTGTGCAGAAATACATAAATAAGACCTATGCATGGGTGCAAAAATACCTAATACATGTGTGCACACACACCCACGGTTATATGCACACACACATACAGACTGTGTATGTCTGGGACTTGCCACTCTTGTTGAAGAGTGCCCACAGACAGGTACCCCAGAGGGGTTGTTACAGGCTGTTGGAATCCATGCTCCCCTCCCCCAGCCCTCCAGTCCCCTGAGCTCACCCTACTCTATTGGCTGTTGCTAGGATCTCCATGGTGACAAGTTCTGGATGGGAGGAAGCCCACCACTGCCTTCTTCCCAGCTGGGGGCTGCCAGGGCCTGGGTGATGGCAGTACCCCATGGGGAAGTTGTTGCCTGGAACAGCTCTGGTGCTGGGGAGCCACATGCCTGTTGTTCATCCTCCACTTGTCCTGCCCAGGTGTGTGGGGCAGAGAGGGTAGGAGGACAGGACCCTGGGGAGCAGGTGGGAAAGAGGGTCACGCCCAGGAAAATCAAGAACAAGACCTGGCAGGATGGAAGCCAGGTCCTGGGAGATCTGGGAACTCCCCGAAGCTGCCTGGCAAGGCAAAGGGGAAGGAGTGAACGGAGCCAGGCTGTTGTGGAAGCCCCTGCCGTTTGTGCTCAAATATTTTCTGCGCACCTGCTCTGAGCCAGGGAGTGTGCAGGGCAGCGAAGTAGGACTTCTAAGGTGGATGGGAGGAGACTAACATAATTCCTTCCTCTCCCAGCTCTCTCCCTAGCGGTGACAGAGCAGACCCTGGCCAGCCTCCCCTTGTGGATTCCCCATGGCCACTTGCTTGAGAGTGTGCCTCTCCCAGCCACAAACCCAGCCAACTGGGGCCAGCCTGAGGATGGAAAATAGAGGACAAATGTTCATCACTCTCCACGCTTTGTCCCTGGCAGATATTACTAGTCAATCATAGCACTTTCTCTTGCTGAGCCGTTCCCTGGCCTCAAAAGCCTACCAAGCAGTCACGACCAGTTGATTGATTGTGGTAGACAAGGGACATAAAACCTATTTGCTAAGGCCCCAATTCATAGCCAGACCAGCTATGGCCTCTCTGTCCCCACCCTCCTCACTTCACCTGACCTCCTCCTGCTCCCTACTGTGTGCCCCAGACACAGTGCCCCTGCCTCCACATACTTCCTCATTCCATCCTCTGAATCCATCTCTAGCTTCTGAGGGGCCACCATGGCCTCAGGAAGCCTGCCCTCCTGACCTCAACAGAATCTGCTCCTTTTCCTAATCCTCCCCTATGGGGCCCAGTGTTTTTCATCGTCTACCCAGTTAGGGGCAGTTCAGCCTCCAGGAGTCTGGAGTGGAGCAGGTCGGGATCTCACCCCTGTGACTTCACCTATGTAAGCCCCCCTTTCATCATTGGAATCCCCCACAAGGTCACCTAGAGTCCTGGGGCCCGGTCAGGCCTTCCTCATGTCCCCACCTGCCCTCCATACCAAGTTCCCCTCGGCAAATGGGGTTCCCCTAAGAGGAGAGGGTTTGCGGGGCTTGTTGGCCTCGGCAAGTGAGCACTTCAAGCTCTGCTCAGGGCTGACTTGGGATTGGTATCAAGCAGCCCTGGCACCTGTCCCGGCATGAAGGCCACACCCTGAGTTACTCTCATCCCATTGCGGCTTTCACCTTCTCGGCCCTGCATTCACCTCAGATTCCCCATTGAGGGGAGCAGAGCAGGGCTTGTCTGTCCATTCTACAGATGGGAAAGCTGAGGCTAGGAAGGGAAGTGTCTTGCCCAAGGGCCTGGCTCCAGCCCCAGCCAGTTACTCACCCAGTGGTCCTAGGTGAGTCATGGTGCCCAGGTGATGGGAAGGAAACATATAAACACGAGCAGTGGGAAGGGCACTCCAGGAGCTGGGCAGATGTGCCTGCATGGGGCTCCCAGCTCTGAACTCCCCCACACAGGCACCTATGGGCTTACTGGGCAGGTGAAACCCTGACTGTCTCAAATTGTGTTCCCTTCTGGCCTTATGTCTCGGCTTGGCATCAGCCTTGGGAGGGCTGTCAACCCACATGACAGATGGGGAAACTGAGGCCCATGGTTAGAAATCAAGCTGTGGCAGGGGACTGTGCCCCAGACTAAGAACCCAGAGCTCCTTCCCCCCAGCCTGGGGTCCCCAACTGGCTCTTACTATGGTTCCAGGCTCCTGCAGGAAGAGACCCAAGCATAGGCCACAGGAAGCCCCTTGCACTAGCAACTCTTTCCTATCTCTGGGGTGGCAGGAGGCCAACGCTGGCAGAGTAGGGGACAGACTGGGGGCACGGGCAGCCACTCACCCCATAAGGAGAAGGGGCTGTATCCTTCCTGCATGTAGTATGTGTGCTATCAAATGCTCTCTCCACTTCCATGGCATACATGGCTGATCCTGCCCAGGACCCAGCTTCAGAACCTCTGCCCTCCACTGTCTCTACACAGTCCAGACCTCTGACCTCTCCCCTAGACCATCTCACTAGGCTTCCAGCCCCTGCTCCATCCCCACAGTCTATTTCCCACACAGCAGCCAGAGAAATCTTTTGAGAATGGAATCATACCCGGCCCTCCCCTGCTCTGAAGCCTCCCATTGTTGCAGAGAACTCCACTGGGTGGCCACGTGGCCCTTGGTGATCTGGCCCTGCCCCTCCCCCCCACCTCCTCAAGTCCCTCAGGGTCCAGGATTCTCTGGGTCCCTTCTCCTCTCTCTCTCTCTCACTCGCCTAGCCCAGGCCCCACATCCTCCTGCCTGTTCTTTCTTCAGGGCCTTTGCTCTCATTGGCCCCTCTGCTGGAAACTTCCTCCCCAGCTCTTTCCTTTGACTAGTTTCTTATCCTTCTCCCCAAACCCACTTGTCCTCCAGAGCCAGAGAGGGCACCTGGGAAGTGGCTGAGCCAGAACTGGAACCCTAGCCTCCTTTTAGACTCTGTGTTGTCAGCCATGAGCACATGGTCCTGGGATTTAAAATGCTTTTGGCTTTCCCTTGCCACACTGGAGGATTCCAGAAGCCTCTCACTTCCATTCCCCACTTGGGCCTTAGCCCGTCCTGCATGACCTGCCCAGAGTCACTCAGTGAGATTCCCTGGAGCCAGGAGGCTCCTGGTCATGAAGGGATGGATCCCTGCTCTCACCGGCCTCGTCCATGGCCTCAGGCTATAGGCCTCAATTTCCCTCTTTCAGAGAGGGTGCTCCCTCTCCCAGCCAGGTGCAGCTCATCCTTCCTCTGCAGATTGAGCCAAAACACTCACTTCTAGGGGACTCTGGGGTCCCAAGCCTGGGTTCCAGTCCTGCAACCCACCAGCGGTGAGCCTGGAGGAGGGGCTGGGCTGGTGAGGGAGCCCCATCTGCTGACACTGAGACCATCCCTAGAGAGCCAGGAGAAGCAGCTCACCAGCCCTGGGAAACCAGGCAGGCTGGGTCTGATTTCCCTGGGGCTCAGAGGAAGGCAGAGGAGAGAGGGAAAGGATTCAGAGAAGACTAGCTGGGCCGGTTCCTTGCCCCAAGGCCAGTGAAGGCCAGAGCCCTTTCCTCTTGCATCCCCCTCCCCAGAATCTTTGCCCTGGGCTGATCCCCCTCCCTCTTACAACACTCCAGGGCTTGTGGGCAGCACCTCATGAGTCCACCTGGGGCTCTGAGGGATAGAAACCAGGGATTTGGGGGAGCAGGGGTCCTTCTGATCCTTCTGAGGCCACCTCTGCCAGGAAGGGCCTGGAGCCCTGATGGTTTGAGCAGGGGTAGGAGGCAGGAGGGCATCTCTGGCAGGCATTCCCAGACAGAGCAAAGGCAAAGAGCTGTGATAGAGTCAGGTGTGGTGCCCTGGTTCTGTCTTTGCCAAACCAGCCTATGGTTTTTTGATTAGGAGAGCCAGCAGTGGCAGGCTCCTGACAGTAAAGCTAGCCCAAGCTTTGAGGCTGAGAGGGTGGAGGAAGCTGGGAATTCCCAGGGCACCTGGCAGGCGGATGTGCCAGGGGCCTGGGCTGGGTCTGCTTCAGGTGGGCCAAGGGGCGGGGCCGGTAGGTCTCTCTGTAGCTGCCAGGCTTAATTGTATCATTAGCATCTGCCTGCTGCCAGCCTGGGCCTGTCTGGTCCCCTCCCCGTCAGCCCACACAGCCCTGTTTTTCAGGAATCCCTCCTATGAGGCATTGATGGTGACAGTGACAGTGACCATGATGAGGCTGGGGAAATGGCCTGGGAGCCAGCTGGCCTGGTCCAGGCGTGAGGTTGCTGGGTTGAGGCCTCACCACCCAGTCACATCCGAGATTTCACACCCAGCGCCATCCCAGCTGCCTGCCTGGGACTGGATGTACAGTGTTCCCACATAGGTAGGCACTGGTGGCAGGACCAGGAAACAGTCTGGGGGACTCCCTTTCCTGGCCTGGCCCCACCCAGCCCAACTCCTGCCACAAGGGCACATGCCCCAAGACTTGGGAGCCTCCCTCCCTCCAAAGACTAGGGTCCACTGGGAGAGAGAAGGGGTCCAATGAACTCTGACTCTCAGGGCTCCTAGGGGGCCCTAGGCAGGGACAGGGTAGACCAGGGGCCAGCTCTGCCTGAAGCCCCTGCCCACAGCCATGGCTTATGCAGTCTCCCATCAGAAGACAGGATTGCCTTGACCCTCACCTTCAGATGGGACAACCTTCTGGCCTGAGCTCTAGGGGCAGCTCAGAGACTAGGGTTGGTAGGAGTGAGGTACTGAGAGGGCGCTTTGGCTGGGACTAGAGCTGGAACCCTCCATAGAAACCTCCCCACAACCACCAAGCCTGGCCCAAAGAACTCAGGCTGGGGAGTAGCTAGGTTCCACAGGCCATGGGCATTATTGGGACATGGAGCCCCCAGGCAGGAGGGAGCTGGAGCCTGCAAAGCTGAGGAGCTGCTGTGGACTGGGTGGCCCCTGGATATGCCCCAGCCTCTCCATCTATGAAGCGGGGCAATACCTTCTGCCTACCCTAACTCCCAGGGGTGTGGGGCAGCCAGGCAGGTTCTCCATTGGATCTGTCAGAGGGAGGGGCCTCTTTAGCCAAAGGGGCTGAGCACAGACTCCAACTACCCCTGCACTGCAGGAGCAAGAGTGGGCTTGGCATGGCACCTGGAGTAGACAAGGTCAAGTGCTGACCACCTGCTAGGCCCTGCTCTGGACATGGCGGGACAGCCCTATGTGGCCCTCAGACAACCAAGGTGTGAATGTGCCACGTGTGCTGGGACAGGGCATGGGTGAGAGGGGGGCAGGGGATTGGGGAGGCTGACCAAGAGACTTGGTTCTAATCCTGACTTCACCGCCAGCCTCCCCTCTCTGGGCCTCAGTTCCCTCCTCTATAAAATGGGGGTGCAGTTTACTGTGCAGGACTGCTATGAGGCAGGGGGAAACACATCGTGTGAAGGGCCCAGACCAGGGCTGAGCACAAGTCCCCCTGCTCAGGCCCCTTGTTCCTAGAGAGTGGGGAGAGGGCCCTGGGGGGAAGCAATGACCCCCTGTGGGAAGGCCTCCTCGGGGGAGGAATGGGAAGGGGGCCTGTAAGCAGCTGTGCCAGCGTGTATGGACAGAATGGGTTCTAAGCAGAGAGGCTGGACCCAACAGGGAGGGAAACAGGGACAGAGCAACTCTTCTGAACCTCAAGCTGGTGGCTGCCCCGTCCTGAGCCTGATGTGGTGGTGGGGGTGGTAGCATGGGCATTCCCAACACCTGAAGCGTGCCTGTGCAGATCCCATCCCATGGGCCAAGGCCCTGCCCACCAGCCTCATGCCTCTGACTCTGTGCCCAAGCCTGCCCACCCACCTCCTGCCCTCCCATAAGGAAGGGTAGGGAGGGCATCAGAGTCACCAGGGCCCTGGCACAGCTCAAGCATGGTCCTACCTCCAAGTCTTGGCCACACCAGCACCCTGCTGCCTTCTGCTTACCCTTCCTTAGCTGTCACCCACATTCGATTCCCACCCTTTGCTCAGACCCAGAAGACAACACCCTTATCCTGACCCTCAGGGAGCCTTTCCCACGAGGGGACTTTGGCCCATGCCTCCTGCCTCCTCAGGGCTCTTCTTGCAGCATTGTCCACAGAACACTAGGTCTGCCAGGTATACCTCAATAAAAAGCCATGTGGTCAATGTCTGGGAAACACTGTGAACTCTGTGACCCCAGCTGTATAGCACAGAAGTGTGTCAAAGGCTCTGACAAGCCCTGCAGGGATGTAGCTGGCTTTGTTTTGTTCATCTGGCATTCCCCAAACTCTGGTGACCACAGCATCAGTTTTTTGCATAACCTCCACTACTAGTCCCTGGGACTGTGCCCTTAGCATGTCCTTCAGGGGAGAAAGTGGGCTTATGTTGCTCAGTGGCTGTTCATACCACATTTTCTTCCTTGGGCTTCCCTTTTCATTTTCAAATGGAGAGCTGAGGGTCATCAAGGTAGTCCCTCATAATCCCACACCCTTCCTCTGGCCCACTCTAGGGGCCCTGAGGTCTGCTTTCCACAAGCTGGTCGGGCTGCCCCAGTGGGATCAGAAGCTATCCTGGCCTGGCTCCTGGGGAGGCTAGGATGATTAAATGGGCACTGGAGAGCAGGCTGGAGAGAAATGAGATGAGCCGGACGCCTGGCCATGCTTCCCCTGACCAGCATCAGCCCGTTCTTGGCCATGACCAGCTCCTATGGTCTCTAGCTCGAGGCTGCACAGGGCCAGACAGTGGCCAGATGGGGAGGCCACTGCATCTCAGATTGGAGGCTGCGGACAAGGCCCCCTCCCCAAGCCCAGGCCAGAGTTGGGTTACGAGCCCTGAGGGTCTCCTAACGAGTTCCACATGCGAGTGGATGCCTCCAAGAGGAAATGGGAAGAGGCTGCGGAGGGGGAGAGGGGCCTGAGATGGGATTGGAAACATGTGTTTTGGAGGCGGAAGGGAGGGGAGGAGGGGCAGAGGAGAGGAAGAGTATGCCCAAAAGTCCTGGTGCTCACCCCCACCAGGTTGGCTGCCAGTCTCCCAGGTCCCTGCAAGAGGCCCCCAGGCCAGCGGTCTGCTGGGAGAGTGGTGGGGGAGACCGCTTAGAGGGCCCACTCCTCTCCTGCAGGCGGAAAAAGCCCCCAAGGAAAAAAATCCCTGGCACTGCTTGTCTGGGGCTCTGAGCCATTAGGGGCAGGATAGAACCAGGTGAGTGGGAGGGTCCATGGGGCAGGAGGAAGCTCCTCCACAGCCAGCTAGCCGGCCAGCAGCAAGATGCTCATTCAGATCCAGCCTGGCTTACCCTACCCCACCAGAGAGCCCTGGGGGCAGCGAGGCCACTGACCGGTCAGACCTGACCACCACCTTCATCCCTCTCAGCTAGCAGGTAGGCAGGGAGGCCTCGCATGGGGTTGCTGCTCCACCCTCCCTCCCTGTCCAGTGGGGCCATGCATAGGCACCCAGGTTGACCTGGTGGTTGGAAGCCTCATTAGGAAAAGGCTGTGCAGGAGCCATGTTGGCATGTGGGGTGGGGGTGTCCAATGAGAGAGACCTGGGGTGGGTAGGGAGCGGAGTCTGAGGGCCTCACAGGGTACAATGGATCCCCCTCCCAGTACCACTGGTTGGGCCCCAGGTTTCCAGCCAGCTGACTGTGGCTGAGCCTGGAGTGGGCCTTCTAGCCAGCTGGCTGGGCTGTAAGACTCTGAGGGTGGGGGCCCAGCCCTTCAGCCCCCATCTCCAGCCACCTCCCCAGGCCATGGATCGGAGCCCAGTAGGGAAACAGCCTGCTCTTAGAATTTTGTGTGAATTGTCTCAGCAAGTCTTTCCAGCAGCCCTATGAGGCCACTCCTGCTCTTACCCCATGTTATGGATGAGGAGGCTGAGGCACAGAGAGGCAAAGTCAGAGCATTCCTGCCAGAAAGAATAGCGGGTGCAAAGGCCCTGGGACTCGAATGTGCCTGATGTGCCCAAGGAACAGTGAGGAGGCTGGAGGGGCAAAAAGGGAGAGTGGATGGTAGGAGATGGGGGTGTGGGTTGGGCGGGATTGAGCAGGGCCTCTTGGCTGTGGTGAGCGCTGTGGCCTGTACTTGGAGGAGGCTGGGAAACCACTAGAAGGGGTTGAGCAGGGATGGCATAAACTATGTCACAAGTTTCCTTTTTATTATTTTTTAATCTTATAGCTTAGTGGACTCTGGCTGCTATGTTGAGAACAATGGGGTAGGCCAAGGGCAGAAGCTGGAGACTGGGCGGGAAATGAGTGGGCGACATCTCAGCAGGTCCTGGTCCTTGAGGGGCTGGTTCTGAGAGGGGCTGAGTGGTGGGTGGTCCTGAGCTTCTGGGAGACTTGGCAGGGCCCTCACCAGACCTGCCCCAGCCTGAGGCTCCCATCTCTCACCAGGGGCCTCCAGAGCTGAGGCTCCCCCAAACCAGAAGCACTCATCCCCAACAGGAGACTTCAGGACACCTCTCAAAGGGCGTGGGCACCCTTGTGAGGCCTCACAAATGGCCCCTTTTCCCAAGCACACCCCAACTGCCAGGGGAGCTAGACCCAACCCCAAGGTCAGGGCTTTATAGTTCCAGCCAAGAAGTCCACAGCAGCAGCCCAGACAAGGGCGGCCCAGGCCTCTGCAACAGAAAGCACCTTCTGTTTCCAGTTAGCAGGCACGTGGGAGCCGCTGCCTCAAGGATCTGGACAGACTAATTACATTGCTTCTCTTGCTCCAAGTTTCAGAGGCTTCTGAGGAGCCAACCCAGGAGCAGTTGTCATGAAGATCCCGGGAGCTAAGCTGGGGGTGCGGGATGTGCTGGCCCTGGGGAGCATGTCCAGTGCTCTCATCTCAACCTTGGGCATGAGGGCATGTCTTTGGGGTGGCTCTGGCTGGGGTCAGAGTTTGAGGGGCTCAGTGCAGACGTGGGGTGCAGCACCATAGGAGCTTTGGAGGGGGTGGATGGTTCTAGAGACCTGCCAGGTCAAGGCATGGCCCTGGGCTGAGCCTAGTCAGGGGAGGGCAGGGTGCAGGGCAGAGGTCTGGAAGAAGAGGCCAGTTGAGCAGAACATCTGCTGGGCACATGTGCCCTCAGCCAGGCCTCAGACCAGGGGATCATGGACTGGAAAGATGTGGGCCCGAGGTGTTCAGGGACGTTCAGGGCTCCGAAGTCAGTCTTGATTCCAAGGCTGAGTCCAGGTGCCCAGCTAGGAAAGGATGGAGATGGACAGGGGCTGATGTGACTGTGTGACACTGCTGGCATGGCCCCAGCTCCTGCAGGCCAGGCCTCTGCCCACTCTGCCCACAAAAGATGCTGAAGTCCCACTTTCAGGAACACACACTTGTGCCTAAAAGAGGAGCTTAGGGCCGAGAAAGGGAAGCTGTAGGAGAACGTGGCTTCCTTTCCTGCCCAGGTTCCTCGTCCCAGCACTCGCATTTTCATGAGCGGTAGGAGAGAGTGGGTGGCGGCCAGGGTTCCTGCCACAAGAAGCACTCCCAGGCAGACGGGGCTTGAGGTGGTCTCCCCTAAAGTGAAAGCACTCCCTGGCCTTGCTCTATAAATAGGTTCTTGGGAGAGTGTTTCCACATGGCAGCTCCCAGCCAAAGGAGGGGCTGGCATGGAAAGCTTCCTAATGGCTTTGCCCCAGGCTCTCTGGCCTGGCTCCAGCCTCATCTTGAGCATGGCTGTGAGGGCCCTGCATCCTGGGCCCTCATGGGTGGAGAGGCAGGGTGAAGCCTCAGAGAGACTTCCCCTGAGTGGCTGAGTGAGTGAGTCCAGGGTGCCAGAGCAGCTCAGCTGTGGTGGGCTGGAGCCCACCAGGCAATAGGACAAGGCCCTGTGCCAGGGTGGAGATGCTCACAGGAAGTAGAACGATGCCCCAGGGTGCCAGGCAGCCACCAGCCTGCCACTGCTGCCTTGGCAAAGTGGGTCCCTCCTCAGCAGCCTCAGGGCAGGGTGGGGTAGAACAAGGGTGCTTGGCAAGAAACACCAGTGGATTTGTGTCCCCCTTTAATGGCCACACACCAATTAAGGCTGGAGCCATCAGGGGCCCATCTTGAGTAAATCGTTTAGATGGGGCTAATGAGAGGGAGCAGGGACAACAGGGCCAGTGTGACTCACCACGCTCTCGCTTGCTCAGCGGGCTGGGCTTCCGGGATTCCAGGCAATCACAAACACCCACCCCCAAGCCTGTGCTGGCCCTAGTGGCTGCCTCCATGATAGCAGAAGAGGTGGCCTTGGAGTGGCCACTCCAAGCAGAGAGGTGGCCACTTGCCACCCCAAGTGGCGAAGAGCTGCCTGAGCCCCTCTGCCTGCCAGCCCAACACCTTCCTCACTGGGATGCCCATGGCAGGGGCCACAGGATCAAGAGAACTTAATTAACTCTGGCCACTTAGAATTTCAGAGCCAGGGCACCCTGAACCATCAGCCTCATTGACACATAGGCCAAGTTGCAGGAAGGGGCCAGAACAGCCAGAAGTCTCCCCCCAGGCTGGTGGAGGGTAACCTCAACAGCCACACATTGACTGCACTCTCCCCCTGTGCCAGTCACTGCTCTGAGCGCCTTGTGTACCCAGTGAGACAGGCACTCTGCCATAAACGGAGTCTCTACAAGGTTAGGGAACTTGTTCAAGGTCATGGAGCTAGCAGGGGGCAGAGCCGGGATTTGGACTCTGGCAGTGGGTCAGGGGCCCCTGACTCCATTGCTCTGCCCTCTTGGCAGCCCGCTACCATGGAGAAATCATGAAGCTGTGGCAAGTGGATCATGGGACAGAGGGAAAAGGATGGTGCTGGGTGGGAGGATGGCAGAGAGTTTTCAGGACAGGCTGGCTTGTGCCACCTGAGTCTCTGGAGGGACACAGGCCTGAAGGGACCCATCAGCTGCTTCTGGGGAGTGGTGACTCAGAGTGAAGGGCAGCAGGCTCACCATGATGTCAAGGTTAGACTCAGCTGCTGCTGCTTTCTGGCTTGGTCGTCCAGCCTACTTGAACTGCCTTCCTTGGTGTCTCTGGCAGGAAGTGTAGGTTCATCCCTGGAACCCCAAGAATCTGGCAAAGGGTAGGTGGGGGACTGCAATTTAAGAATCACTTGTTCTTTTATTTCACATTAGGAAAATTAGCGCATGAAGGGGGCAGGGTTGGGAATTGCCACTGAGATGCACTTCCTAACAAAAACCCCAAACCTAACCTATCTTCCTAGCCAAAAAAAAAAGAGATGGCTGCAATTTGGTTTTCTGGGAGCTCAGTTACCAAAACCCAAAATTAGGAGAGATGATGGCTGAGCTGAGGCACCTGCATTTCTGGAGGCCTGCTTTTGAGCTTGGCGGCATGAGCAGGGGACTGGTAAGAGCCCCCACCACAGGGGAGCCATCGGGGACAGCTGGCAGGGAGAGACACCACAAGATAGGCCCTGTCACATGGCCCCCAACCTCACCAAGCCACCTCAAGCCCACTCAGACCCCACACTCCTCCCTTGCTCCTAAGGGCCCCAGAGCCAGTCCTGCCTGCCACCAGCCCAGTGTTGCCCAGCTCAGGGTCCTGCAGCACCTTCAGCGGGGGAGTTGTTGGAACTGAGGCTAGACAGTCACCAGAATGGTCAGAGTGCCCTAGAGTCCCCTGTCCCTTCTCCCAGGAGCAACCTGCGCCCCTGGATTCTCACTCGGAGAATCAGAGAGGTCTCAGGTGAGAACCTGAGCACCCTCCCAGCACTGCCCTCCGCATGGTGATACACACTGACCCCCAGGCTTGCAGGAGGCGGGGCTCTCTGTTGTTTTAAAACAAGTGCAGCTCTCCAATAACCATCCTTCCCCCAAATTCCAGGTTTGGCTGGTGGCTCTGTCAAGGCAGGTGAGTGTGCAGGAAACCCCCCAGGAGGGTGGCCTGGGGCAGGGGGTCCGTTGAGTACCTGCTGTGCCAGGCTCCTGCAGCATCTACCTCATAACCACCTGGAGGGGTGGTTATCACTACTTAACACAAGAACCTGAGGCTCAGAGAGGGTCACCATGCTAAGGTCACAGAGCTGGCCAAAGGCAGAGTTGGAGGCCTGACCCTGGACTGCAGCTCTCTCTCCCCTCAGCTGGAGGAGGCAGCTTCCCTATTCTTGTTGTTTATCAGGACTCAACATAGTCTGTGTCCTTGTCAGGCCAAGCTCTTAGGCATTCAGGCTTTGCTCCTACCTGGAAGCCACAGAAGCTGGGAACCTCATTAGCTGCATGGTATTGACAGCTCCCAAGGTCTAACACTGTCCCCCTAGACCCCACGGCAGGGCAGGGGTGTTGGGGATAAATACCTCCCCGGCTGGCTAAGCCCCAAGAAGCCAAATGCTGAAGGCAACAACACCAACCAGACATATGGAAAACACTCTTTCCCCGACGGATGCAGAAGGAGACTATGGAAACCCTCATGAGCAAATGGAAATGCAAGTGCCTGAGGCCTCTAGGTTCCGACTGAAGAAGCCAGCTGGGGCTAGCCAGAGGGAGGTGGGTGGTAGGCAGGGGCTCTGGCTGTCCCTGCTCCTCCAACATCCTGAATGGTGGCAAACAAGTGTCCTGGGCTTCAGAGGTGATCCTGGCAGGGCCCTCCCAAGTTGCCACTTTCGTTCTCACTTTGTGGGCCCTGGGATGGGGGACCAATTAGCTCTCACTCAGGACAAGCCATTTCTACAACAAGCTCAATAAAGTTCATTTTAATTTTCAGATTCCTTTGCCCTCGTGTATGCAGAGGAGGAAGGCACCAGGCCCGAGGGAACATGTGTGGAGCTGAAATCAAGGCCACTGCAAAGCCACCCCCTGTCCAGACTGCCTGTTCCTGGCTAAGCCTGACTCAGACGGGCCCATGTTGGGCCTTTTGTCAGATTTAGAGATTACTCTTGGCTTATCCATGCAACGAGCAGACCATTCTAAGTTGTGGCAGGTGGGAAAAGCCAGTCATATGGCAGAAAGGTGAACAAACCCCAGCAAGGAGTGAAAAGCAAGGTGACTTGGGGCTGCCCTCTCCGGAGGAGGAGCTCTGATCTTGAGGCTCCTTAGGACTCTTAGGCAGCAAAGATTTTCAAGCGGCTCCTTCATATGAAACTAAACATGGTCCATTCTGCAGGGGTGGCCCTGCCTACCAGGGCCTCCCCCGCCAGGTGGAGAGGGGCAGACAGCAGGGCGGAGGGAAAAGTATGCAGCTCCTGGGGCTTGGGATGGATGTGGTTCCCACAGAGTGGAATCCCCTTTATTTATTTACCCAAGTCCCACAGTACAAACACGTGGCCTGCCACCCCCCAAATCGACTGAGCTCTTGATTCTTGCTCCCCTGATCATGGTGTCGTTCTCTGCATGATTAGCTGCTGGTTCTCCAGACACTGCTTCAGCTTGTCTTCTGTCAGCGTCAACCGCTGTTCCAGGATGGAGACCGTCTGGAAAATAAATGGTAGTCAGGCTCAGAGGATGGAGGGCCCTCTGGGCTGCCCTGGGGATCCCCTCAGTCAGTCCTGCTCAGCTGCCTCAGCCCGCTGTCCAAATGTCAGCTCTTCCCACTCAGGGGTCCTGCCTGGCCTCTTGGCTCTGGTGGCTGTTGGGACAGCTCTCACCTTCATGTCCACTTCTGGCTCTGGATGGTTGTTCTCTGATGTTCGTGGGCCGGGGGAGGACACAGTGACAGAAAGTAGGTGGCAGGTCCCATAGCCCTTGGCCATTCCCCAAGACAATCAAGGATCAGGAATCCCCAGTAGAAGCACTTCCTCACTGGGGCCCGGCTCTGTCCATAAACTGGAGACCATCAACCATCTCCATTCCAGAGGGGAGAAAACTCAATAAAGTCCATTTTAATTTTCAGATTCCTTTGCCTTCACGTATGACAGAGGAGGAAGCCACCAGGCGCTAGTCAATATATGTGGAGCAGTGACCCACAATGAAGGCATCCCACCTGGGTTGTGTCCATGCCTCGGGCCCTTCACTTCTACACTGGAGGGGCTTCCTAGGCTGGGAGGTGAGTCCCCTGAGCCCAGGAGGGCCTCTGCCTGTCCAAGTCCAGTGAGGACTATTTCCAGAGTCTGCCATCTGGGGGTCAGGCCCTAACTCCCTGTCTTGGAGCCCACTTCCTCCTCTGCAATGGGAAGGATAACGCCAAGTTCATGGCAGTCCTGGAGACTGCAAGGTGACTCAGCATGGTGCCCAGCACTTGTTAGCTTGACCCATGTTGACCACTGTGACAATGTTTGTCATCGTGTTGGCTTCCGGAGGCTGAGCCCTTGCTCCCTGGCCTCTCCCACACACCCAGCATGATGGCTGGCCTGTGGACCTGGCTGTCTGTCTGGCCTGCCAAATGCCCCCAGCCGCTGGGGTTGCAGATGCTCAAGGCCAGTCTTACAGACGTGCCTACCAGACAAGGCTGCGAAAACCTGTCCACCTCCTCTGACTTTGGACAGAGTATTGGCAGAGGGGCAGTGGTATCTAGGAGCCTATGTGGAGGGGCTGGCCTACTGGCCTTAAGTACTGCCCGCCATGGGCCTGCCCCACTGGTCACACGTCCACTCCAGCACTTGCTCAGCCTGACCCACGCTGGCCATTACGGCTGGGCTCATCATTCAACCCCCTTATTGAGGGTTGCTGAGCGCCTATGCATGGCAGGCCCACAGTGGGCACTGGGCGAGTCCGCTGTGCACGAGGCAGTTTTGGTTCCTGTGCTGTGCAGTCTACAGGCATCAGACAGGGGTCAGATTAAGAAACAAAACTTTCTATTAACTTTACCCATTTGTCAGTGGGCTTTCCCAAGAGGTTTTGCCACCTTCCCTGAGGCTCCATGGAGGCTCTGGACCTTGGTGCAGTGGAAAGGAAACTTTCCTTTCGTACATTTAATAAAACATTGAAACGTTTTGAGAGGGAGATCCCCCTCTAAGGCTACTATAAATTCTCGCAGCATCCAGCATGGATATCAGCTGCTCATGGAGGCTGCTCCGCCTGGTGGCTGGCCCCTTCTAAACGAGCTGGCCGGGCATGTGAAGGCTCTGAATCCCCTGGTACAGGACAGAGCGTGAAAAGTTGCTGCCTGTGGAATATGAACTGTACCCTGAGAGGCAGAGCTGAGCAGAAAGAGACAGTCACCTTGCCCCTGTGCTGGCCAGCCAGCCGTGGAGGGGTCTGCATCTTGTAAAAGTGGCGGCGGAAACAGCCCCCGGCTGGCCCAGAGCAGCATTCCTGGAAGTTTCCACTGGCTGCTGTGAAACTCACACTGAGCCAAGTGCCAAAATCATTCTTCATCCAGACTTTTTCCGATGGCCCCGGACTCCAGGCCACGGTGGGGGAGCCAGCCTGCTTTTCCTCTTCTGCTTTTTTTTTTTTAACTTTTCACAGGGACCGAATTTCCAAATGTGGAGGCAGGAGGCAGTGGGTACTGGGCCAATGTCAACACCAGGAGAGCCACGCATTTCACGAGGCCTCCTCTTAGTTCCACGGGGGGCCCGTACTTGAGCTCGGGAAAAATCTGGCCCTTAAGTTCGTCAATATTAAATTTCTTTGAACAGAAAAGCATCACCTATTTCACATCCAGCCCCCTGATGGAGGGTGCCGGGCCGCCTGTGGGCCTTTCCTTTGGGAGCTTTGAGGGGGTACTTCACAGCATGTTATAGACAAACAGGCTTAAAAAAAATTCACCACCCCTCAAGCCTGCAGCTCGTCTCCCTGCCACTCTCTGGCTTCTCCCCTTTCCCACTCGAGCTTCTGGAAGAGTCACGTCATCTCTGTGTTTGGTTCGACTTCCCCTACCCCCTCTGCCTCCAGCCTACTCTGCCAAGATGCTGGGTGTAGCCACCATCCAGGGATAAGTCCACCAGGCTCTTCCCAGTCACATGTGATCCCACCCAAACCCACTCTGAGCCGCAAGGATGGGCCAGGGAGAGGAGGATGCTTTTGGATTGTTGTATGTTAGAAAGCTATCTGGCATTCTCTCCTTCACATATTTTTCTTAAACCTACTCCAAGAAAGCATGGGACCTCACTCCCATGGAAAACAGTTATCCCTCATGACAAAGTGCAACCTAGATCTCTAATTTTGCTCGTGTGTCTCTCTGCCCCCAGGGAAAGAGTTTCCTCAGTGATGGAAGGGCTCCCGTCTGTGCATCCAAGCAGCAGAGGTCAGACATGCTCAGGGCTGGCAGTATAGCAGGAGGGCAGCACCACGGCACCAACATGCCTCCCCCGCTGCTGGGGCCTCCAGGGGGAGGGAACAGCATCAGGAACAGCATGTGGGCTGTGGGGGGCATCTCTAGCAAGGAGTGGTTCTGGGCCTTATCATGTGGCTTTGTTTACAGTGTGACCTTTACCTGCCGGTTGGTAGTAACCTCCCCACAGCAAGTGTCAGGCGCACAGCAGCCTCACTAAGTATGTGCTGCCTCAGCGTCCAGAGAGCAGAGGCCGCGGCCTTCTCTCCCGCTGCCCAGGGCCACGCCAAGTCGGCTGCTCTCTGCTCGCCCAACCTCGTGCTCTGGGGATTCTCCTCATCCTCTGCAGGCCGAAGACAAGGCCATCCCTACCCTAGAGCGAGGAGGAGCAGCGTGTAGGCAAACACCTCCACGGTCGTTCTGAGGCCACACTCCCAACCCAACGGTCTTGCCTTTCTTTTATTCCAGGGCAAACAAGAACTGACCTTCCAAGCAGCCCCATTACGCACAGGCCTCTCACCTTACTCTTTCCAGAGGAACAGGGACCAGAAGTCTGGTCCCAGCCACTCAGAAAGTCCCCAAGGAGGTGCATGCCGGGTCTGGTGGCAGGTGCCAATGAGGGAAATGGCTCTGCCCGACATGGTGTCCGTGGACCTCTGACTTTTAAGCAGGGTGAAGGGAAACTGGAGAAAGGGCTTGAGTCCAGGGTGCTGGCTGCTGGGCAGACCTGTCTGGGCAAGGTGGCCAGGAAAGATGGCCCATCTCCCGGGACTCCTTCATTCTGGGGTCCAAACTCTTCCACAGAGAGGCCTCTCCTGTCTGCTGACCTTGGAGAAACCAGACAGCTCACGCCCTCTCCTTGACCCTTTTGCCATCAGGCAGCTTACTCCCAAGTCCCCTCTGTAACTAGGGTGTGGAGCCCAGACTCGAGGGGACCAGTGGCAGGACTGGGGGGTCATCCTGATGATCCTTGACACACACTGCTCCAGGGCTGCTCTTGGCAGCCGACGTTCCCGGAGCACTCACAATGTGCCAAGCACACTTCAACAAACCTTCAGGGTAGGAGCCTTTATCACACCCATTTTTCACATGAGGAAACTGTGGCACAGTGATATTAAGCAACTTGCCTCAAGTCACACAGTTTATAAATGATAAACCTGGGCCATAAGCCCCAGCGGCCTGGCTTCAGAATGTGGGCTTGGGCATTGGGAACTGTGTACCTTCGCTTTGTCCCCATTGAGCACATAGAAGGAGAGGCCTGGCCTTACTCCCTTCTGCCGACTTGCTCCAACCACACCTGAGGGCTACTGGCCATTTGACCCCAGGAGACTTGCTTGTCCCCCAACCCTATCCCCAAACTCAAGCAGATGGGGAGGAACTCATGGATCTCTGTTCTCACCCAGGGGCAGCTGCCTTCTGTCCTGTTTAGGCCACCTGGCCTGGTGGCTCCAGACTAAAAGAGCAGAAGCAGTGGAAAGGGACATCCCTCAGGGTCAGCCAGCAGCCCCCTCACACCATCAGGCCACTCTCAGAGGCAGTTCCCAGGCTCAGATGCCCCAGCCCCAGAAAGCAGAGTCTCTTACCTGGCTAAACAATGACATACCGACAAGAACCTTTAAGTAGATATGCAGTGAGAAACTACCCTAACGCCTTCACTTGAGACGCCTTTCCACTGGGGCACTTGTGTCACTACGGCATAAGCGGTCAGCCCCCTAACACACCATGGAACTCATTCAGGTCGCTGCTGGGCGCCCTGCCCTCACCAGACTGGGCTCAACTTGAACCAAGGCACCTCCTTTCCTGAATCAGAGTGACAGGAATCAGAATTCGGACCCCACTCTGGACACTGTCTGCATCCCAGGGTCATAGACTTCACCTGCGAGCTGTGGGGGAGCCTCATGGGGCAAGGTCATAGGGGATCCAGAAGTTTCATCTTCAAAGTCGCATCTGTCAGAGGGTCACTTGGGAGCCTGTTTCTGAACTACCTTCTCCTGCTGTTACCAGCAATCTCCAGGAAGCCATAGCCCTCTTCATGGAAAATTATTCCCTCAGAAACACTGCTGTTCACTCCTGTTGAGGATGTTCTGTTGTTTCTCTGGACCAAGGGTTGGCACACTCGGCCTGCTTCCTACTTTTATAAATAAGGTCTTCTTGCCATGCCCATTTGTTTACGTACTGTCTATGGCTGCTTTCTGGCTACAACGGCAGGTCAAGTAGTTGTGACAGACGCTACGGCCCACAAAGCCTAGAATATTTCCC